GTGTATATAAAAAAAGTAATCCTGCTATTTGCAGCTTTTTAATATTTCCTACAACTTTCATGATATACTATGTTAGTACAGTTTTGGTAATATTATTATAATTAAAATCCTTTTATTCTTGAAATATTAGTGTATTGCATGTATAATAAACTACATAAACTGATGAACAAAACTAGAGACACGGGGGGGGGGGATATTCTAGTATATAAAATAAGTAATCCTGCTATTTGCAGCTTTTTAATATTTCCTACAACTTTCATGATATACTATGTTAGTACAGTTTTGGTAATATTATTATAATTAAAATCCTTTTATTCTTGAAATATTAGTGTTTATTGCATGTAATATTATATGTAGGATCATTTTTCTTGAATTGTTTATTGCATTTAACATTATCATATTTAAAATCGTTTTTCTTGAGATATTGTTTATTGCATGTAACATTATTATATTTAAGATTATTTTTCTTGAAGTAAAAAAAACTGAAAAAAAACAGGGAATCATTAACTTCACCCTCCTTTTACTGATGGTAAGATGTGATTAAAACCAATATCCATTTACTGAGTATCTGCTGTATGTTGGAGAAATAAGAAGATAAGGTCTAGGGGGTTGGTGAAAACATCTGAGGTATTGGTGGAAAGACTAGGCAAACACACACTGAGACAATAAAACTTGCTGGAAAAGAGGCTGGGATTGCAACTCACAAACCTCTTTATTTCCTGTTGTTGAATACTGTTCCATATGGCTTCCTCTAAGAAAACAAGCAATTCTTCTGTGGTTGCTTTTTCACCCCCGGCCAGTTTAGACAGCTTTTCAGCTATAAGAAATACAAAAACAACCAATTTGATCAAGAGAAAGTGTCAAGGAACTGGGCATTTCTGTTTGAAAAGTATAGTCCAGAGCCATTTCAGTATCCAATTAAAGGGCCCAACAAAGTGAGGCAAAGAACAAGCACTGAAGGAAAGGGATGAAACAGGAAGATAACTGTTTATTCCCCAACAACTCACAATTCAGTGCCGTAGACCTAATTCATCCTATGTCCTTTAAACAAACCAACCCACAGAAAGAAAGGTGCTATACCTAGAGACTCTCTGATAAAGCTGTACTGAGCATCTTCATTTGCACACCTGTAGCTCAGAATTATATTGGCCACTTTCATATCAACTCTGAGCCGGAGGCTGTCGAGCCCAAGCAATTCTAAGAAACAAACACAGGCCGCTCCTATTGAAGGTATGTGGAAGGAAGAGAGGCCTAAAACATAGGCTTCATTGCCTACTTGCTGGATCCTGAAAGAAAGCAAAATCACATCAGCCCATGAAACTATCTCATCATCAGGAAAAACAGATCAGTGATACATGGAGCGTCAGACGCATGTGAGTTTTGGCTTCCTCCCCATTCCCCTTTTGTGCCCTTTGCTCACAGTCATTTAGGTTCTGTAGGTTGGAGGAGTAGGAAGATAAGGTCTGGGGGATTGGTGAAAACACCTGAGGTACTGGAAGAAAGACTAGGCAGACACACATTGGGACAACAAAAGTTTGCTGAAAAAGAGGCTGGGATTGCAACTCACAAACCTTTTTATTTCCTGTTGTTGAATACTGTTCCATATTGCTTCCTCTAAGACAGTGGTTCTCAACCTTCTGGCCCTTTAAATACAGTTCCTCATGCTGTGACCCAACCATAAAATTATTTTGGTTGCTACTTCATAACTGTAATGTTGCTACTGTTATGAATCGTAATGTAAATATCTGATATGCAGGATGGTCTTAGGCGACCCCTGTGAAAGGGTCGCTCGACCTCCAAAGTGGTCGAGACCCACAGGTTGAGAACCGCTGCTCTAAGAGAACAAGCAATTCTTCTGTGGTTGCCTTTTCACCTCCCCCCCCCGCCCCCATTTCTTTATATTGGATGTTTCCAAAAAATGTATACACACTTTAACAGCTTATAACTCACTTGACTTTCACGCCTTTTCAGGTTTAACTGATTTGAAAAAATGGGTGAAGCCAGACTAAGCTTTGAACAAAGGAAATACATCGTAAAGTGCCACTAGACTTGTTTTATAGGGGTACATAAAAGATAAAGTTTATGGTATAACATCTGCAGCAGTTGATGAATTGAGGGTGCACAAATACCAAACGAAATGGTTCTTGATGTTTTCAATTCCGTTGTTTTGCGTTTTCAGCAGGGCCTGGGCCAGATCAGGTATCAGTTTAAAAACAGGCATTGACCCCCCAAAATTATTCATTTATGTAGATTCTTTTACATTTTGAAAATGAACTGTATGCTAATAAGACTGCCTTTATAATCATTTAAAGTGCATATATATATATTTTGAACACCCCATATTTTACCTTCTCCTAAAACACCTACTCACAGTCTAAATTATTCTGCTTCCAATTTCATCTAGGGAACAGGGAGTAGAATTTCCAAAAGATTGCCAACTTGTGATCTTGTCAATTATATGTACACAAACTACCAAGAAAATTAATGCCACTTAAAGTTTGATGTCATAAAACACACACATTTTAAAGGACTCATCTGTACTTTTATATGTATAGAAAATTTTTGATGAAAGAACACACAAGAATTTACTATGTAGAATGAGGCTAGAAGACTGAGGGACTTTTAAAAAAATTTATCTTTATTGAAAGTATTACAGATGTCCTCCCCTCTTTTATCCCCCCATTAGCCCCCCCACCCCCCGCACCTTGAGGGGCTTCTATATTTCGTTTTTCACCCTTCTGAGCTACTTGAATATTTTACCAATAAAATGCATTACTTTGTTAATTATAAAACAAACCAATAAAGCAAACCTAACAAAGATCTTAAATTCAGAATTCACATCTCATTATAGAACTCTCTCTTTAGCATAATGGCTAACATTTGGCAAGCTCCTGGATCATTTTTTTTTAAAGTTATTTAAAATCTTTTTTTTTCCCCCCTGAACCGGTGTGGCTCAGCAGTTGAGCGCCAGTCTGGAACCAAGAGGCCACTGGTTCAATTCCCGGTCGGGGCACATGCCCAGGTTATGGGCTCAATCCCTGGTGGGGGCCTTGCAAGAGGTAAGCCAATTGATGATGTTCCTCTCTCATGGATGATTCTATCTCTCTATCCCACTCCTTTCCTCTCTCTCTAAAAAAAATCAATTAAAAGTATATTTAAAAAATATATATGTATAATATATATATACTTTTAATCTTTTTTCCTATTAACAAAAGTAACACACACTAAATGCAAGAAACTGAGGATACACAGAAAAACACAAATGGAAAAAAAAATCACCATCCAAATAGAATCACTGTTAACTCTTATACGTGTTTCCAGTACATTTTTTAAATGTACAGGTAAAATACACAGATATGCCGAGACCAGTTTGGCTCAGTGGATAGAGCATCGGACTACAGACTGAAAGGTCCCAGGTTCAATTCCGGTCAAGGGCATGTACTTGGGTTGCGGGCACATCCCCAGTGGGAGATGTGCAGGAGGCAGCTGATCGATGTTTCTCTCTCTCATCGATGTTTCTAACTCTCTATCTCTCTCCCTTCCTCTTTGTAAAAAATCAATAAAATATATTTTAAAAAAAAACACAGATATACCTTTTATTAACAGTATAAATTATACTTTACTCACAGCTGCTTGGGGGTCTTGCTCTTAGTTAATTCCTGGACCAGAAAAGTACCAAATGCAAATGATGGCCGTCCATGATATAAATAATAAGCAAAATTCAGACGTTCCACTATAGCATATTTATTAACCAGATCAGGGCTAGAGAAATGTGGGAGATGACTCGATACATCTGGGGGAAAAGTGAAGCAATATTAATGCCCTACACCTCATCATGATTAACTGCAGATCTATACATGGAAAACTTAAGTCTACAATGGTAGAAGAAAACCGGTTGCTATAATCATTTTGTACCATTATGTGTCACTTTGAACCACCTAAATAGTTTTATTTTAATGTGGAGAGATGGCCATTTTATGCAAAAATGTGTATCTGAGAAGCTGCATGAAAACTTATAAATTGTGCTTTCCCCCCATGAACTTACTTATAATTTATATATTTTAAATCTATATTTAACTTTACAATAGCAATAACCTTTTGACTAAAAAATCTCTGCCAAAGATCTGCAAAAACTTTTAATTCATTCACGAGGTTCATTATGCAATAAAACCTCTACCTAATATATTTGTGTCCTCTATTCACCAAGGCCAGGTCACTGTACCATGCTAATAAATACCTTGAGAAGAACATCTTTTTCTCCATATTAATACCCTCCTCTACTCTCCTTATCACTAGCTGTATTTTCTGATGTTGTAGGCACAGAGCACCTTATTATCTACATGTTGGTACCATCTTTCCAGCAGAGTGATTCAGTTTAAATTTCCATCCCTAGCCAGTTTGGTTCAGTGGATAGAGCGTCAGCCTACAGACTGAAGGGTCCCAGGTTCGATTCCAGCCAAGGGCACATGCCTGGGTTGTGGGCTTGATCCCCAGTAGGGGGCGTGCAGGAGGCAGCTGATCAATGATTCTCTCTCATCATTGATGTTTCTGTCTCTTTCTATCCCTCTCCCTTCCTCTCTAAAATCAATAAAACTATATGAAAGAAGAAAAAAATAGTCTGGGCACAGTAAAGTAGATCATTGAGTGAATCAATATAATAAATGGCTAATATGCAAATCGTCCAAACAGCCGAACGTCTGGTCACTATGACAACCACTGACTACCAGGTGC